CGCTGGCTTACCTACCTGCTGACTGACCTCGGAGAGCCGCCTCGTTCTCCTCCGGTGCTGTACGTAGACAACAAGGCCATGCTAGCCTTGTGTCGGGAGTAGCGCCTGGAGCACAGAACGAAGCACATTGCTCTCCGCTACTTTCTTGCTCGTGAGTTGCAGCAGCGTGGTCAGTTGCGACTTGCGTACGTGGCCTCTGAGGCCAACACTGCTGATGTTTTCACCAAGGCACTTGCGCCTTGTGATCATCAGCGCTTCTGTACTCAGCTTGGTCTTGTGCCTGTCTTGCCTCACTTGCTCACCTCTTGACCTTGCTTGTACTGTTACATATATATACACCTGCTCTTGCTTGTCTAGCTTTCTATATATATGTACTCATGCATGTGAACTGGCCTTGTGGCCTTGAACTTGTGCTCGGAATGTGTGGTGACTTTGTGATCCACCCTGAGCTTGCTTTGCTTTGCTTTGCTTGACTGGTCTTGTGACCGCTTGTTCTCCCCCACTTTACCTATAAGGGTGTGTCATAATATTATAGCTCGTGCTTTTGTGTAGGCTGTAGCCCATATGGGGTACAACCCAATTAGGGTTAGTACTTGTACCCAACTGTTTCATAGTTCATTCATTCTCGTTCACATTTTCTCAGATCCATCCAGTCACCTCATCCCACCCTGTCCCACCACATGGCACATAGATCACCTGGTTTGTGTGGCACCAAAGCTTGGATATATGCAATACAGCACTACCTGGGCTCTTGCTAACTTTTAGGCCCGTCTGACGTTTTCCTAAAAAAACAAAAATTGTCTGGCCCTCATTTGGAGGATTCCTGGTGGTCTTTGTCTCAGACGGATTTTAAAAGTTAGTATGCCGGCTCAGACGGATTTACACGAGATCAGATGTTTATTTAACTATATGGTCTACACACATACTATACTCTATTACTATAGATAACCATACATTCATAATGAACTAGGAGTCACTGTCGCTATCATGAGAATAATCTTTCTCGTCGTCCCCGTCTAGCTCTGAATCTGAAGCAATGTGTTCTTTGACGTGGTCAGCCCGTCTCTGCCAGGGGCCCAACTCCTCCTCTAGCCTGGCTGCTTCTTCTGCAGCTACTGCTTCACGAGCACCAGCCTCTGCTGCTGCTGCTGCTATTGCTGCCGCCTGCTTCGCGGCCAGCATCGCAAGGGTCTTCCTCGTGCGCTTCACAGGCCTTTGTGCATGCACCATCACCACATCCTTGGCTGGGCGTCGCTTCTTCGCACCTCTCCACAGCTCTACAAGGGCGGGCCAGTCAGGTTCGTACTGCAGCATGGAGATGGTCATCAGGTCGCCAAGCTTCGCGTTGTTGAGATTGCCGTGTAGCCAGCTCTTGATGACGTTCTGGCGGGAGAAGCCCCGCTCGCACTCCACGGTGCTCAGGGGCAGCACTGCGACTGCCATCCAAAGGCGGACCAGGTTGGGGTAGGCCGTGCACCAGTCGGGCGAGTTGAGCATCTGCTTCAGGCCGTCCTGGAAGCTCAGCTCGCGGTGATGGGTCGACATGATCGTGGTGAAGCTGCTGATCTCCTTCTGTGCTCTCGTCCAGTTGAATCCTGGTGGCGGGGTGTGAATCAGAAACCTTTTTAATGAGAATACGGGCTGTTGTACAAAAGTACACAAGCTCATACAACCAACGAAGCATACGGTGACACAAACACCCTAGATAACTCAATCAAGCACAATCAAAATCAAAGACGTACCAGGCAGGGTGTCAGGGTCGGACGGTTTCCGCTTAAACAGATTGCGGAGAGCCTCCAGCCACTGCAAAAACCGACGCTGCCGCTTCGAGTGAGATTTCGGGTACGCCCCCTTCATGAATAGCTTGGCGTCGTCGAGAGAGCCCAGATCCTTCATCCGGGTCTCCAGTCGCTTCAACAGCTCCTTCACGTACCCCTTCGCCAGTGTGATGCAGTCGTCCAGGCCCGGGCCAGATGTCTGACCCTTGATTTTCTGTTCATAGAGGGTGTACTCATGAGTAGTCGGGGCGCCAGTCGAGTCGGTGCCCGTCACCTTCACCTCCCTTTTGTCCGACGAGGCATGCTTCGACAAGAAGGCGCTCAGCTCGTTGCTCCCATCTCCGAAGTCGTCCGCGTCACTCACGTAACGGTTGCGGAGGGTGAGCCTAGTGTTGTCCACCATCTGCAGCACGTGTGTCACGTCGACCTGCCACACACACATGAGAGGCGGTGGAGAGGCATGCACGGGTAAATATCTCATTAACACGATTCATTTACGCTAAAAACAGTTAATAGCAAGAGGCGTAACAGCGTACCTGCCGTCGCTGGAAGTTGAGGTTCAGTGCGTTGAGTTCCTTCAACACATCAGCCAAGAAAAACAGCATGAAATGGAATTTCAAACTGGTTACAAAGAGGTACGCCTTCGGGTCATTCTTCGTACAATAGTATGACAGCAGCTGAAAGGTTGTCAGCCATTCGCTGCACCACTAGACCACGTGAAAGCCACCTGACGCTGTGGATGCCCTGCAACTCCAGGTTAGTTTCACACAGCACCTCCTGCAGCAATTTGAAGTGTAGGTGGAAGTTGCCCGAACGTCCAAGGAGCTCCGCTAAGGAACGGACGACATGGTCGACGATGTCAAGGTCGGGGTAGGCCTCTGCTGCATCCTTTGCGGCCAAAGCTTCCCTGACACAACACGGAAAAGCAACAAGTTAGATACATATGCAACGATTAAAAGGTAAGCATAACATTACAGGGTTAAAAACCTGTGCGCGATGCAGTGGAACCCGGCGAGGTGTGGAATCCGCCCACGAAGGCGTGCCACCAGGCCCGTCTGAGAACCGACCACGACGCTTGCACCGTCAGTGCTGATGCCACTGATGCGCTCAAGGTCGAGGCCAGTAGACTCCAGGTGGGTTAGAAGGACTGCCTGCAGGGAATCAGCATCGCACTGCTCAACTGTTAGGTGCTGCGGAGGAACGACAAGTAGACTATCAGGTGCTTCCCGCGCCGACGGTCCGTGCTCTTGTCCAATTGAATGCCCAGGTAAGGACTCTCTCGGATGTGCTTCATCTGTTGAGCATGGAGGTAGATGACAAGCGTCTCAACCAACTGCGCAAATCCGTACCTGTAACGACCAGAGACAAGGTAATTAGTACCGTGGTTTTCAACTAAACCCTAAACCCGCAAAAAAAAAAAAAAAAAAAACACTTCGCTGTAGTAGGTGCCGGAATCCTTCAGGGGCATGTCGGGCGTGCCCATCTCTGCCATGAACTGGTCCAGGGTCACAAACAGCACAATGGGTGAGTCGCTTCTGCAAATAAAAATAACTGTTGCCAGGAGTTTTGTCAAACACTTGGCTTCCCCGTCACCGTTCTCGAAGTCGACAATCGACTTCTGAGCAACATTCTTGCTGTCACGTAGCTGTTGGCGGTCCAGTGACGCCTCTGACAAAATTAGAAGAAAGAAAGAGGGATTGAACTAGCAAGAATGAGGATACAAATAGCAAACCCTAGAAGGGTTGTACTCGCTATAGAGCACCCCACTACAGGCTAGAACATAAGATAATATTCTGACAGCCTCATGCTTGATGGAATGCTGATGTTTCCGCATCGTCTGTCGTTGAATGTCCAGCCCACCCTCTCCATCGCGGCCGTACTGGTAGCTGGGGTCTCCGTGCACCATGCAGATTGAACACCTCATGCAGGGTTGACCCCATGAAGTCTCCGAGATGATGAGCCACGGGAAGTGCTTTAGCCATTTCTCGTTAGCCTTCTGCTGCCATTGCTCGACGGTCAAGGCGCGCGGATACTTGTCGTCGTCGTTGGCGGCGACGGGTTGTGACGGGCCCGGGCGAGTTGTGCTAAAGCGGGGGACGGTTGCTGGCGGGACACCTGCAGTGGGACGGGCAAAGCTCAGAATTCGCTGTTTGTATTTGCCGGTCCCTGCTCTAATGCAAGAAACAGAAATCGCCGGTAGAGTTGTGGCCACAGATGCCGAAACGGGCGGCGGCGAGGACTCAGCTTCAGCCGGGTTAGGCTGGGTCGCAGTCTCAGTAGCGTCTGACGTAGATTGCAAGGGGATAAGCGGCTCGTCGTTGCAGGATGTGATGACGTTGGGGGAAGGAATCACAGGCGGAGGCGTCTCAACTGCGGCAGTGGTGGTCACAAGAATTGCTGCCGGAGCTTTACGGGTTAGGAAATCTAACGCAGAAACCCGTGGCTCGTCAGGTACCCCGGGTTGATCACGCCTAGCGCTGTCGGTTGACTCGAGGGCGCCAGATAGCATGGTGTGAGGTGGTGTATCACCTCACATGAGGCAGTAGCAAGAAAGGAATTCTAGACGGTACGCGGGAACAAGCTACGGGACGATAGGTATGCTTCGGGCTAGGCGTAAAAGATTGAAAGGTAAAGGCAGGTTGTCAAAGAAAGGCTTGGAGAAGAAAGGAAGGGAAGGGACCATCACCTAACGAACCGCGCCGCGCCTCTTTCACGAAGGTGTGTGCATGCTTTGTTTTGATGTGCACCGACTGTCCTTGCACTCTGCCAGCGAGGTGAGGGGCAACAGCCTGGCAGCGGCGCCGACAACAGCTACCCGACAGATGCGTGGCAGCAACTGAGTCAGATGCAGAATGCGCTGGCAGGAAGAATCCGAAATTCACCCCTGTGCCCTCACGCAAAAATCAGTACGCGTGCCTTCACATGCAACACCTCGCTGCTCCTCTGGCCAACTGGGCCATTTTGTCTCATTCAGACGAAACAATACACGATTTCTGCTGGATCAGATGAATTGCTATAAGTTTCCTGAAAAAACATATGACGTTATAGCATTTGTCTTGACTCTCATATGGCCCATAAGCTAAAGTCTGCCACAGCATATGAACGATACATTTCGCGCCTGAAACCTAGACCAGCAGACTAAATTAGTCTGCTAACGAGAGCCCTGAGCACTACACGACATGCGACAGCAGGAAGGTGAACCAGAAGTCGGGCAGGCAGTTGTCAGAAGCAGTGCATGGGCAGTGCATAGTGCTCGTTGAGGCATGACATGCCATGCCCACCCCTGTGCCCAACTTGCACCCACACGTCTGCCTGCTTGTCCCCGTCCACAGCGGTACCACTATGTGTTGCCTGACGTCATGCTCCGTGCATGCATACAGCGGTGCTCCCTGGGCCTTGGCTCGTTGGATGTGCTTCACGCGTGTGCTAGCAGTGGGTTGCATGCGCGTCCTGTGGGCAATGCTAAGAGGCACCATTGATGGTGTCACCCTGTGCCTGCTGCTGCCAGTGCAGCCATTCGGGTGAGCACACATGGTGGCATTTGCATGCCAACGATGCGGCCAACCAGGGAGAGCCAGCTCAGCATGTAGAGCTCGAGCGCCAGAAAGTGGTGGTGTGATGCTGCAGTGGTGGTGGCGACAGGTGCACCGACCGCTGCTGGCCTTGCACTCGCCTCACTGGTAGCCCCATCTGCACCACTTGCTGCAGCGGCCGCACCACCAGCAGCACCACCCCTAGCAGTAGCAGAAGCAGTAGCAGTAGCATTTGCAGTAGCAGTAGCAGTAGCAGTAGCAGGAGCAGTAGCAGTAGCATTTGCAGTAGCAGTAGCAGTAGCAGTAGCACTATCACAAGCAGCACTGCCTGCAGCAGCAGCAGCATCAGCTGTAGCAGCAGCGTGCAGCAGGAGCGCCATGGCTGCGGGAGTGTTGCAGGGGTGAAGGGCCATGCAGGGCCGGCCCAGGAAGGGATGCTCCTGGCAGCACGGAGAGGGTGGCATGGGGAGGGTGGCATGGGGAGGGTGGCATGGGGAGGGTGGCATGGGGAGGGTGGCATGGGGAGGGTGGCATGGGGAGGGTGGCATGGGAAGGGTGGCATGGGGAGGGTGGCATGGGGAGGGTGGCATGGGGAGGGTGGCATGGGGAGGGTGGCATGGGGAGGGTGGCATGGGGAGGGTGGCATGGGGAGGGTGGCATGGGGAGGGTGGCATGGGAAGGGTGGCATGGGGAGGGTGGCATGGGGAGGGTGGCATGGGGAGGGTGGCATGGGGAGGGTGGCATGGGGAGGGTGGCATGGGGAGGGTGGCATGGGGAGGGTGGCATGGGGAGGGTAAGGGTGGCATGGGGAGGGTGGCATGGGGAGGGTGGCATGGGGAGGGTGGCATGGGGAGGGTGGCATGGGGAGGGTGGCATGGGGAGGGTGGCATGGGGAGGGTGGCATGGGGAGGGTGGCATGGGGAGGGTGGCATGGGGAGGGTGGCATAGGGAGGGTGGCATGGGGAGGGTGGCATGGGGAAGGTGGCATGGGGAGGGTGGCATGGGGAGGGTGGCATGGGGAGGGCAGCATGGGGAGGGCAGCACACAGTGCACAGTGCAATGGAAGTGCAGTGAGGGCAATCACGTGGCAGATCAAAGCCTTGGAAATGGGCAGCGAGCAACGCTGTGCGTCCAACAATGACGAGTGAATGAGTGAGGAGAGGCGAAGGGAAGGCATGCATGCAGTGCAGCACAGCTTCGAGTGCGGGCCACAGCCAATGGTCCATGCATGGTGCTTGGGGCACGGCAAGTCATGGCAGGTGCGGGTTGGTGGTGAGAGCATGAGCGATGGAACTTGTGGGTGGGGGCGTACCAGGGGCGTGAGCAGGTGCCAGGTGTCCAGAGAGGGGTCATGTGCGGTGGGCGGAAGAGGGGCGGAGGGCAGGGGTGAGGGCAGCAAGGGGTGGTCGGGGAGGCGAGGCAGGAAGGCAAAGAGGTCCTGCCAGGGCAGGGGGCGGCCGTCTGGTGGGGGGTAGAGGGGGCGGGGGTTGGGGCGTGGGAAGGGATGAATGTGGTTTACAGTGGACAGGGAGCTGAGGGCAGCAGAGGAAGTGGGCAGCAGAGGGGCACATGGAAAAGGAGAGTGGGCGCAGTCAGAGGTGCGTTTGAGATGCGAGAGAGGCCAACTTGGTTGCACCTGCTGGGCCCATGGTGGAGAGGTGCCGTGAGGGCGGAGTATGGCATGGCATGGCATGGCATGGCGAAGCATGGCATGGGTGGCACACCTGGGCAGCATGGCAGGAGCAGCAGTTGTGGCACGGAGAAGACAGCATCAAACACCACGTGGCAATGCACCAATGCCACCGTGTCACTTGATGCCACGTCACTCAAAGCCACGTCCCATGAATGCTGAACACTCCTCGTTCCACATGCTGCTTTGCCAGACACCCGGCTCTCATCTCTCAACACAGCGTCCAGTTCTCTTGGTCCGGCTGTGTGCCGTTCTGCCTGTGCTGCTGCTGGCAAGGGTGCATGCAGCCGTGACTGTAATGGGGTTGACGCCTCTGCAACTACTGCTGCTCCTGCATCTGCTCCTGGCGGCGCTGTGTTGTGGCGGGGATGTGCGCAGCAGTGCAGAGTGGCAGGGTCGTGCGCCTCCTCGCCACTCAAGTCAACCGCATCAACCCAGTCAACCGGGTCAACCGGGTCAACCGGGTCAACCGGGAGAGTGAAGAGAAGAGGTGGGTGGTGGTGAGCAGTGCACGCAGCAGGCAGCGCGTCGTGGCTTCTCGCTTCCTCCTTGCAGCCGCCATCGCAGCAGCACCCCTGCTGCTGGCTGTGCTGCTGGGTGTGGTGGTGGGGAGTGCGTGTGCGGTGCAGCAGCAGCGGGTGGAGCGTGGTGAGGTAGCCGCCTGGCACAGGGCGGTAGGTGGGTGGGAGGGAGGGAGGGAGGGAGGGAGGGAGGGAGGGAGGGAAGGAGGGAGGGAGGGAGGGAGGGAGGGAGGGAGGGAGGGAGGGAAGGAGGGAGGGAGGGAGGGAGGGAGGGAGGGTGGATGAGACGACAGGGTGAGGCGGGGAGATGCGATGGCAGTGGCACGTGAGAGGTTGAAAAGGAGGGATGCGTCTGGGGAAAGGGACGGAGTGGGCAGGGAGGGTGAGCTTAGGGAAGTTGATGACCATGATCCTCTCTCCCGAGGTGTGCTCGGCGAAAGAGCGAAACACACGGAATGGAAGGGGAGAGAAGGGGAATGGGGATCTGTGGGGACGGGTAGCAGGAGCGATGGAGCAGGGAGGTGTGACCGAGCATGAGCATGAGCATGAGCATGAGCATGAGCATGTGACGTGGCATCAAGGAGCCACAAAGCCAAGGGGCACCTGCGCGTCGCATGCATTCATGTCGCCCCACCATTCGCTCACTCGAGGCGCGCTCACCTCCCACTGCCAGAGACGACGCCCGCGCCGCAACCCACTGCCATATCACGCCCTCCGCGCGCCCCTCACAGCGAGCGCACTCCACTCCCTGCCGTTCGCCCACCGCGTCTGCCGCCGCATACCGCGCTATCGCGGAACCACCCCCTCCACTTTGCGCCGCTGCCCACGCTGCCTTTTCGCTCTCCGCTCGTCCACTCCGCCGCGCGTCTGCCGCCGCGGGGGAGCTGCGAGTCGCCTCGCCAATCGACTGCGCGTCTTCCGCCGCGTTCCACGCTGCTGCGAGTCTGGCCGCGGCGAGCGGGAAATCGGCGGCGCTGATTCGCCCAGCGCGGAGCGCCGCGGCCATGCTTGCGACGCGAGGCGACTCTCACGTGGAGAGCATTGATGAAGGCGGCGTGCGAACCTGCTCGCACGCTTCCCCCACGCTGCACAATCGGCGCGTTGCGGAAGATGCCTTAAGGCGGTTCGGTATGCGGTTTGGTAATCGCCAATCAACCAGGAAAATCGAACCCAGGGTACGTGTGGACTTGGTGTGACGGACGCAGATTAGGGTTGCATATCCACCACATGCTACCACGAAGAATAGAGCAGCTCATTGGAAATGCTGAGTTTGAGGGAGGTAATCTCGCCGCGAACTGCCGTCTCGCGTAGGAGGCGTCGAGTGCGGTGCGCGCCCGCACTGATAAAAGCCATCGGTAGCTGAAACGCGTATCCACGCATCTAGGTCGATTACTCGGTCATTCCACGAAATCATCACCTCTACTTTCGCTACCTTTAGCACTGAATCTACTGCCAGGAGGCTTGCTGCTGATCGACCATTCGTTCGTTTCTTAGCCTCTTAAAGCCCGACGAGCCCAGCCGCACGAGGAGTGGCACGCCCCAGGTACATTGAATTCCGGCAACGAGGCCCACAACATTCGACCACTTTGCACGCGCCGCAGCGAGGCCTATCGTAGCCGTTGCGAGCATCGCGCGCTCGTTCCATCGACGTCGCCCCTGGAGCAGCGCAGCAGCGGCGGGCAGTCTTGTGCGCCACCCCGCTCGCGGCGCTGCAGCGCGCAGCACGCAGCGCACTGCCCTGGTGGCAGGTGGAAGGCGCGCACGGCTGGAAGGGCGGATGCGCGGAGGCGACTGTGGCGGATGGGGGGAACCGATTGGTGGGGGCGGGCTCGGGAGTGCTGATGCGCGGAACGAGCGGCGGGGACTGGACGTGGGGGAGGGGAGAGGTGCAACGGGGGCGAGTGTGAGGAGCGAAGTGGGGGGCGACAGGGAAGGCGCGGGGTATAGGTGCGCGGAGGAGGTGCGGCGAGCGGTGGAGGCGCTGTGGCGCCACTCGCAGCTCCTCTCCTCCCTGTGCGCCCCTCTCCTTGCGCCCTCCGCCCAGCTCCCCGCTCTTTGTCATTACCCGCCACCTTCTTCTCTCACGAACCACACACTGACTGTCACCATACCAATCCCAGTCACCGCCCCACAAAGCCACCCATCACTCACCCTCACTCCCATTATTTGATTTTCTCGTGTGCCTGCCCGAATCCGGTCCCCTCGCCCCCACCAGCCTGCACAAGGGCCAGTGCTTGCCGCCAGCAGCGGCAGCAGCGGCGCCAGGCGCACAGCAGGCGAGCAATAGGGCTGCCACAGCACCGTGGGCACCACTCCGCCCCGCCGGGCCGGCACCCAAACCCACCGCGCTTGCAGCGGCAGAATCGACAGCAGAAGCAGGCGCGCGGGCAGAAGCAGCAGTGAGGGCAGATGCGCAGGCGGTGTGGGCGCGAGCAGGCGAGCAGGTGGGCGGCGAGGTGCAACGGCTGATGGCGCCGCTCACCCGCCTGCTGCTCGCCCTGCAGGGCACTGGGGGGACTGCGGGTGTGGGAGGTGGGGGGACTGCGGGTGTGGGAGGTGGGGGGACTGCGGGTGTGGGAGGTGGGGACGAGGAGGAGCGGTGGGAGGGTGGCGGCGCCAGAGAGGCAGGAAGTGATGGCGGGTGGGGGAGCGCAGCGGAAGGGTGTGGGGGTGAGGACGCAGGGAAGGGCGGTGAGACAAGTGGGAGCGAGCGAGGGGGGGGGTGGGTGGAGCGAGTGGAGGCGCTGCGAGTGGTGAGGGCGCGGGGCAGGGCGGTGAGGAAGAAGCGATGGCGGGCAACGAGGCGAGCACAGCAGACAGTGGCATGGCAGCAGGTAGAGCAGAAAAGGAGAACAAGCTGTGCTTCTTTCCCCCTTTCCCCGCTTGCTCCCCTCATTCTCTCGCCCCCACTCACTTTCCAACTCTACCATAACCACCACCCCCCCACAACCCACACCCCCCCCTCATGCTCTCTGACCAGTGGCCCTGTGCATGGGTGGGAAGCAGGCAGAGGTTTGCCGAGACTAAGCTCTGCTTCTCTCCCCTCTCCCACTTCCTCTTCTGCTGCCATCCCCACTTACTCCTTTCCTAACCTACACCCCACCCCCCCCCCTCCCCACCACTCGCTCTCTCCAACACCCCTTTCCCCCCTCCCCCTCTTCCCCCGTTGTCTGATGGGTGGGCCCTATGCGGGCATGTGGGCGAGCGGAGTGCCGTGGGAGGGGCAGAGGGAGGAGCAGGGGGGGGTGGTGGAGGCGAGGATAGATGCGTGGCGGGCACGGGTGATGGAGAGAGATGCTCAGGAGAGTATGGTGAGTGGCGCATGGTGAGTGGAGCAAGGTGAGTGGCGCATGGTGAGTGGAGCATGGTGAGTAGCGCATGGTGAGTGGAGCATGGTGAGTGGCGCATGTGAGTGGAGAATGGAGTGGAGCTGGAGTGGAGCAGGGTGAGTGGAGCATGGTGAGTGGAGCATGGTGGGTGCAGCATGGTGAGTGGAGCATGGTGAGTGGAGCATGGTGAGTGGAGCATGGTGAGTGGAGCATGGTGAGTGGAGCATGGTGAGTGGAGCATGGTGAGTGGAGCATGGTGAGTGGAGCATGGTGAGTGGAGCATGTGTGAGTAGAGCATGGTAGTTGGAGCATGGTGAGTGGAGCATGGTGAGTGGAGCATGGTGAGTGGAGCATGGTGAGTGGAGCATGGTGAGTGGAGCAGGGTGGAGTGGAGCATGGTGAGTGGCAGCATGGTGAGTGGAGCATGGTGGGTGGAGCATGGTGAGTGGAGCATGGTGGAGTGGAGCATGGTGAGTGGAGCATGGTGAGTGGAGCATGGTGAGTGGAGCATGGTGAGTGGAGCATGGTGAGTGGAGCATGGTGAGGGAGCATGGTGAGTGGAGCATGGTGAGTGGAGCATGGTGAGTGGAGCATGGTGAGTGGAGCATGGTGAGTGGAGCATGGTGAGTGGAGCATGGTGAGTGGAGCATGGTGAGTGGAGCATGGTGAGTGGAGCATGGTGAGTGGAGCTGGAGCACTGGTGAGTGGAGCATGGTGAGTGGAGCATGGTGAGTGGAAGCATGGTGAGTGGAGCATGGTGAGTGGAGCATGGTGAGTGGAGCATGGTGAGTGGAGCATGGTGAGTGGAGCATGGTGAGTGGAGCATGGTGAGTGGAGCATGGTGAGTGGAGCAGGTGAGTGGAGCATGGTGAGTGGAGCATGGTGAGTGAGCATGGTGAGTGGAGCATGGTGAGTGAGCATGGTGAGTGGAGCATGGTGTGAGTGGGAGCATGGTGAGTGGAGCATGGTGAGTGGAGCATGGTGAGTGGAGCATGGTGAGTGGAGCATGGTGAGTGAGCATGGTGAGTGGAGGCATGTGAGTGGAGCATGGTGAGTGGAGCATGGTGAGTGGAGCATGGTGAGTGGAGCATGGTGAGTGGAGCATGTGAGTGGAGCATGGTGAGTGGAGCATGGTGAGTGGAGCAGGGTGAGTGGAGCATGGTGAGTGGAGCATGGTGAGTGGAGCATGGTGAGTGGAGCATGGTGAGTGGAGCATGGTGAGTGGAGCATGGTGAGTGGAGCATGGTGAGTGGAGCATGGTGAGTGGAGCATGGTGAGTGGAGCATGGTGAGTGGAGCATGGTGAGTGGAGCATGGTGAGTGGAGCATGGTGAGTGGAGCATGGTGAAGGGAGCATGGTGAGTGGAGCATGGTGAGTGGAGCATGGTGAGTGGAGCATGGTGAGTGGAGCATGGTGAGTGGAGCATGGTGAGTGGAGCATGGTGAGTGGAGCATGGTGAGTGGAGCATGGTGAGTGGAACATGGTGAGTGGAGCATGGTGAGTGGAGCATGGTGAGTGAAGCATGGTGAGTGGAGCATGGTGAGTGGAGCATGGTGAGTGGAGCATGGTGAGTGGAGCATGGTGAGTGGAGCATGGTGAGTGGAACATGGTGAGTGGAGCATGGTGAGTGGAGCATGGTGAGTGAAGCATGGTGAGTGGAGCATGGTGAGTGGAGCATGGTGAGTGGAGCATGGTGAGTGGAGCATGGTGAGTGGAGCAGGGTGAGTGGAGCATGGTGAGTGGAGCATGGTGGGTGCAGCATGGTGAGTGGAGCATGGTGAGTGGAGCATGGTGAGTGGAGCATGGTGAGTGGAGCATGGTGAGTGGAGCATGGTGAGTGGAGCATGGTGAGTGGAGCATGGTGAGTGGAGCATGGTGAGTAGAGCATGGTAGTTGGAGCATGGTGAGTGGAGCATGGTGAGTGGAGCATGGTGAGTGGAGCAGGGTGAGTGGAGCAGGGTGAGTGGAGCAGGGTGGGTGGAGCATGGTGGGTGCAGCATGGTGAGTGGAGCATGGTGGGTGGAGCATGGTGAGTGGAGCATGGTGAGTGAGCATGGTGAGTGGAGCATGGTGAGTGGAGCATGGTGAGTGTAGCATGGTGAGTGGCGCATGGTGAGTGAGCATGGTGAGTGGAGCATGGTGAGTGGAGCATGGTGAGTGGGAGCATGGTGAAGTGGAGCATGGTGAGTGGAGCATGGTGAGTGGAGCATGGTGAGTGGAGCATGGTGAGTGGAGCATGGTGAGTGGGGAGCATGGTGAGTGGAGCATGGTGAGTGGAGCATGGTGAGTGGAGCATGGTGAGTGGAACATGGTGAGTGGAGCATGGTGAGTGGAGCATGGTGAGTGAAGCATGGTGAGTGGAGCATGGTGAGTGGAGCATGGTGAGTGGAGCATGGTGAGTGGAGCATGGTGAGTGGAGCATGGTGAGTGGAGCATGGTGAGTGGAGCATGGTGCGTGGAGCATGGTGAGTGGAGCATGGTGAGTGGAGCATGGTGAGTGGAGCATGGTGAGTGGAGCATGGTGAGTGGAGCATGGTGAGTGGAGCATGGTGAGTGGAGCATGGTGAGTGGAGCATGGTGAGTGGAGCATGGTGAGTGGAGCATGGTGAGTGGAGCATGGTGAGTGGAGCATGGTGAGTGGAGCATGGTGAGTGGAACATGATGAGTGGAGCATGGTGAGTGGAGCATGGTGAGTGAAGCATGGTGAGTGGAGCATGGTGAGTGGAGCATGGTGAGTGGAGCATGGTGAGTGGAGCATGGTGAGTGACGCATGGTGAGTGGAGCATGGTGAGTGGAGCATGGTGAGTGGAGCATGGTGAGTGGAGCATGGTGAAGGGAGCATGGTGAGTGGAGCATGGTGAGTGGAGCATGGTGAGTGGAGCATGGTGAGTGGAGCATGGTGAGTGGAGCATGGTGAGTGGAGCATGGTGAGTGGGGCATGGTGAGTGGAGCATGGTGAGTGGAACATGGTGAGTGGAGCATGGTGAGTGGAGCATGGTGAGTGAAGCATGGTGAGTGGAGCATGGTGAGTGGAGCATGGTGAGTGGAGCATGGTGAGTGGAGCATGGTGAGTGGAGCAGGGTGAGTGGAGCATGGTGAGTGGAGCATGGTGGGTGCAGCATGGTGAGTGGAGCATGGTGAGTGGAGCATGGTGAGTGGAGCATGGTGAGTGGAGCATGGTGAGTGGAGCATGGTGAGTGGAGCATGGTGAGTGGAGCATGGTGAGTGGAGCATGGTGAGTGGAGCATGGTGAGTAGAGCATGGTAGTTGGAGCATGGTAGTGGAGCATGGTGAGTGGAGCATGGTGAGTGGAGCAGGGTGAGTGGAGCAGGGTGGAGTGTAGCAGGTGGGTGGAGCATGGTGGTGCAGCATGGTGAGTGGAGCATGGTTGGGTGGAGCATGGTGAGTGGAGCATGGGTGAGTGGAGCATGGTGAGTGGAGCATGGTGAGTGGAGCATGGTGAGTGGAGCATGGTGAGTGGAGCATGGTGAGTGGAGCATGGTGAGTGGAGCATGGTGAGTGGAGCATGGTGAGTGGAGCATGGTGAGTGGAGCATGGTGAGTGGAGCATGGTGAGTGGAGCATGGTGAGTGGAGAGCATGGTGAGTGGAGCATGGTGAGTGGAGCATGGTGAGTGGAGCATGGTGAGTGGAGCATGGTGAGTTGGAGCATGGTGAGTGGAGCATGGTGAGTGGAGCATGGTGAGTGGAGCATGGTGAGTGGAGCATGTGGTGAGTGAGCATGGTGAGTGGAGCATGGTGAGTGAGCATGGTGCGTGGAGCATGGTGAGTGGAGCATGGTGAGTGGAGCATGGTGAGTGGAGCATGGTGAGTGGAGCATGGTGAGTGGAGCATGGTGAGTGGAGCATGGTGAGTGGAGCATGGTGAGTGGAGCATGGTGAGTGGAGCATGGTGAGTGGAGCATGGTGAGTGGAGCATGGTGAGTGGAGCATGGTGAGTGGAGCATGGTGAGTGGAGCATGGTGAGTGGAGCATGGGTGAGTGGAGCATGGTGAGTGGAGCATGGTGAGTGGAGCATGGTGAGTGGAGCATGGTGAGTGGAGCATGGTGAGTGGAGCATGGTGAGTGGAGCATGGTGAGTGGAGCATGGTGAGTGGAGCATGGTGAGTGGAGCATGGTGAGTGAGCATGGTGAGTGGAGCATGGTGAGTGGAGCCATGGTGAGTGGAGCATGGTGAGTGGAGCATGGTGAGTGGAACATGGTGAGTGGAGCATGGTGAGTGGAGCATGGTGAGTGGAGCATGGTGAGTGGAGCATGGTGAGTGGAGCATGGTGAGTGGAGCATGGTGAGTGGAGCATGGTGAGTGGAGCATGGTGAGTGGAAGCATGGTGAGTGGAGCATGGTGAGTGGAGCATGGTGAGTGGGGTGAGTGGAGCATGGGGTGAGTGGAGCCATGGTGGTGAGCATGCGTGAGATGGAGCTGGTGAGTGGAGCATGGTGAGTGGAGCATGGTGAGTGGAGCATGGTGAGTGGAGCATGGTGAGTGAGCATGGTGAGTGGAGCATGGTGAGTGGAGCATGGTGAGTGGAGCATGGTGAGTGGAGCATGGGAAGTGGAGCATGGTGAGTGGAGCATGGTGAGTGGAGCATGGTGAGTTGGAGCATGGTGAGTGGAGCATGGTGAGTGGAGCATGGTGAGTGGAGCATGGTGAGTGGAAGCATGGTGAGTGGAGCATGGTGAGTGGAGCATGGTGAGTGGAGGCATGGTGAGTGGAGCATGGTGAGTGGAGCATGGTGAGTGGAGCATGGTGAGTGGAGCATGGTGAGTGGAGCATGGTGAGTGGAGCATGTGAGTGGAGCATGGTGAGTGGCAGCTATGGTGAGTGGAGCCATGGTGAGTGGAGCATGGTGAGTGGAGCATGGTGAGTGGAGCATGGTGAGTGGCATTGGTGAGTGGAGCATGGTGAGTGGAGCATGGTGAGTGGAGCATGGTGAGTGGAGCATGGTGAGTGGAGCATGGTGAGTGGAGCATGGTGAGTGGAGCATGGTGAGTGGAGCATGGTGAGTGGAGCATGGTGAGTGGAGCATGGTGAGTGGAGCATGGTGAGTGGAGCATGGTGAGTGGAGCATGGTGAGTGGAGCATGGTGAGTGGAGCATGGTGAGTGGAGCATGGTGAGTGGAGCATGGTGAGTGGAGCATGGTGAGTGGAGCATGGTGAGTGGAGCATGGTGAGTGGAGCATGGTGAGTGGAGCATGGTGAGTGGAGCATGGTGAGTGGAGCATGGTGAGTGGAGCATGGTGAGTGGAGCATGGTGAGTGGAGCATGGTGAGTGGAGCATGGTGAGTGGAGCATGGTGAGTGGAGCATGGTGAGTGGAGCATGGTGAGTGGAGCATGGTGAGTGGAGCATGGTGAGTGGAGCATGGTGAGTGGAGCATGGTGAGTGGAGCATGGTGAGTGGAGCATGGTGAGTGGAGCATGGTGAGTGGAGCATGGTGAGTGGAGCATGGTGAGTGGAGCATGGTGAGTGG